ATAGAGAGAGAATGAGAGAGAGAATGAGAGAGAGAGAGAGAATGCGAGAATGAAAGAATGAGAGAAGGAAAGAGAGAATGAGAGAATGAAAGAATGAGAGAATGAAAGAGAGAATGAGAGAATAAGAGAGAGAAAATGAGATAATGAGAGAGAGAGAGAATGAGAGAAAGAGAGAGAGAATGAGAGAGAGAATGAGAGAATGAGAGAGAGAAGGAGAGAATGAGAGAAAGAGAGAGAATGAGAGAGAAAGAGAGAGAGAATGAGAGAGAAAGAATGAGAGAATGAGAGAGAAAATGAGAGAATGAGAGAAAATGAGAGAATGAGAGAGAAAATGAAAGAATGAGAGAGAGAAAATGAGAGAATGAGAGAGAGAAAATGAGAAAATGAGAGAGAAAATGAGAGAATGAGAGAGAGAGAGAAAATGAGAATGAGAGAGAGAAAATGAGAGAATGAGAGAAAGAAAGAAAGTGAGAGAAAATGAGAGAGAGAGAGAGAAAATAAGAAAAAGAGAAAATGAGAGAAAGAGAGAAAATGAGAGAAAGGGAGAGAAAATGAGAGAAAGAGATAGAAAATGAGAGAGAGAGAGAGAGACAGAAAATGAGAGAAAATGAGAGAAAGGGAAAATGAGGGAAAGAGAGAAAAAGAGAGAAAGAAAATGAGAGAAAATGAGAGAAAGAGAAAATGAGAGAAAGAGAGAAAATGAGAGAGAGAGAGAGAGAGAGAGGGGGGAGAGAGAGGGGGAGAGAGAGAGAGAGGTAGAGAGAGAAAGAGGGAGAGAGAGAGAGAGGGGAGAGAGAAGAGAGGGAGAGAGAGAGAGAGAAGAGAGGTGGGAGAGAGAGAAAGAGGGGGAGAGAGAGAAAGAGAGGGAGGAGAGAAAGAGAGGGGGAGAGAGAAAGAGAGGGAGAGAGAGAAAGAGAGGGGGAGAGAGAAAGAGAGGGGGAGAGAGAAAGAGAGGGAGAGAGAGAAAGAGAGGGGAGAGAGAGAGAGAGAGGGAGAGAGAAATAGAGGGGGAGTGAGAGAGAGAGAGTTCTTCAAGGATAAGTGGCAGAACCAATGAGGATTTTGAAAATGATAAGTGTCGTGGATGAAGTGGTCACACCTTGCCGTTCAGTCAGCGATTCATAGAGAGATACCAAGCAGTCTCTTGACACAGACGCATATGCAAAGTCCATGTGAGAAAATGGTACGCATGCACAAGCACAATCGCCATGAACGGAGATATGGATGTGACTTATTCTGTCGACCGAGCGAAAGAAAATAGACAGAAGGTAACATGAAAAAAAGTGAGTACATGGCATTGTGAAGAAATGAATGCGCGGTGATGTTAAACAGATGCATATGTATGACAAAGGTAGAAAAAAAGAGGAATATATAGAGATATGAAAAAAAGTTTTAATGCGTGGGTGATACGAATTTGCACTCTCCAGTATAGCTCTTGCTATGGTGGAGGACACTTGTGAGGCCGAAATTAGGAAGCACGTGGCAGTAGTGATACCTTGTTCAAGATGTAAGCGCCATGTTTTTTTCGTAACACATCCAGATTTCGGGGGGTTGTAAAGGTAAATAAAATAAATAGATAAATAGAAATTAAGGAAATAAGTCCATTGAGAAGACGATAGTCAGAGTGGATTTGATATGTCACAATATAAAGGGACGCTTTAACAGGGGGAATTTCTTAAATTCTAAAGGATTAAGCATTTCGAGAAAGAAAAAGACAAGAACGATAAATGTCTTATTATTTCCACTCATGTGGCATGAGAAGTACAGAATGAATAAAGATAGACACGATGATAGATCTAGCAACAGTAGGAAGAGAAGCGTGTTTCGTTGGGGCTATCACACACACACACACACACACACACACACACACACACACACACACACACACACACACACACACACACACACACACACACACACACACACACACACACACACACACGTACATATATATATATATATATATATATATATATATATATATATATTTATATATATATATATATATATATATATTATGTATGTTTCTCTTTTCCTTAGTTGCACATTCCACCTTTCTTTTATCTACAGGGGCTGTATACGATGCGTAGAGCCATAAGCAGACAACGAAAATTCACGTGGCGTTCGGGTCGGCTGCACCTGCTATGCCAGGTGTTGAGAAGTGGCGAGGGGGGGGGTGGGCGTGCTAAGCTAACTATCACGGGAACAGTATAATAGAGTATTCTTTTGTTTTTATAACTATCACGGGAACAGTATAATAGAGTATTCTTTTGTTTTTATTGCGTGTGAATTTGTGAGACGATTTGATATTTAAAAAGAAAACTGATAATTCCTAACTAAATCTATGAAAAAGAGTTGAGATTCTAATACGGTTTTTGTATTAGTAATATGGAGTTAGACGTAAAGAATTAAAATCCTCATGGTTTTTGTTCGGAAAAAAAATGTTGATGAAGCAGCAACGAAGGACAATTAAGGAAATGTATGAAGCGAGACATATTTA